GAGCTCCATTAGATATTCACTCTGACCACTCTATAGGGAAGAGTCACCCGAGAGTTCGTGGTGACTGGAATAGGGTGGTAGCAAGGGAGATGAGGCCAGTGTATACATCCGGATGTTCCAGGTGGATTCAGGAAGTCTTCAGATGTAGATCTTAGAGGGAAAGAGAGGAAGCCAAGATGCCTTCTTGGACTGTGTCTTAAGCAATTGGGTGGACAAGGAAGGACTTTCTAACCTTGGGGAAACCTGAAGGAGTTTAAAGAGAGTGAGCACATATAGATACTGCTCGTATGAGACCATTGAACACCTGGGCTTGGAATGATATTGACTGCAAAGATCTGAGCTGTCAAGAATACAGCCTGGTGGCTATCACAGTGTCTTATCATTCAGAACATGCACAAATGTCTGCTGTCCTTGCCAGCTAAAGCAGGGAACTGGCTAAGGCAGCTGCACCCTGGTCCGACCATCACAAAGCAAGAGACCTGAGAACTCGAAAGGCGAGGCTCACGGAGCCATTTATCCCTCTGCCCTTCAATTAATCTCATATGTGTTTCTCGTCCAGGTTGGCACAATAAACTACCTCAGAAACCCTCAAGGCCAGTCCTACTCTGTCCTACTGGGTCACTAGGAGTCAGAATTGATAAAATGGTGGGGAGTTTCTGTTTTTGGTAACACCCAAGTTAATACACGTCTACCCTCTACTTAGCGGTTTAACCTGCTTTCCTATCCCACCTCTTGTAACTTTATTGTATATAAACATTTTTTGAACTTTTTTTACAGTAGTGGTCTCATGCAATAATTCCTTTGTGATCAATTAATTTCACTCAGCATAATGGCTTCTAGCTTCATCCAGGGGGGTGAACAATTGATGCAGATTCATTGCTATTCTTTAGCATTGTGTAGCCTGCCACTCTGTATGGACCCTGTTTTCTTTAATCCATTCTTCCACGAATGGACATTTACATGCTTCCATCGTCGTGCTGCTGTGACTAACAGATGCTACAGTGGACACGGGAGTGCATATATTAGTTTAAGTCACAGCTCTTGTTTCTCTAGGACAAAACCTAGCAATGGGACCACTGCTGTTTCTGTTTCGTTTTTGAAGGAAGCATCTTACCTTGTTCCTCGGCGGTTGCACCATTTTAAAGTTCCACCAGAGTATGAGGGTTCTAATCCCTCCACACCCCCACCAGAATGTGTTGCTTTCTGTTTGTTTCTTTGTTTTTAAATTTGCTGTGAATGCCACGGTGAAGTGATACCTCATTACTATTCTAATTTGCATCTCTCGAGTGGCTAGTGATCACGAGCATTTCTCATTGTGCTTGTTGGGAACCTGAGTGTCTTACTCGTCTCTGTGCATGCCATTACCAATAGCAGTCTACAGGTTCTCCTTGTAACCATTTGGTGAAGTCTTTTGATACATCTGTCTCACTGCTAACAAGTCAGTTATGACTCATAGCAGACAGGATAGAACTGCCCTTGTGGGTTTCTGAGATTGTAACTCTCTATGGGAGTAGAAAGCCTCGTCTTTGTCCCAACAAGCAGCTGGTGGTTTCAAACTACCGACCTTGTGGTTAGCAGCCCACCGCATAACCACTGTGCCACCAAGGTTGATACACATAGATGTTTAATTTTTAGGAAGTCCCAGTCATCCACTGTGTGTATTTTTGGAAATGTGTGCTAATGTATTTTTGTTAGGAAATGGGGCTGTGGTGATGATCGTACAACTCTTTAATATGATTGAACGATTGAATCCTATGGTGTGTGAATTATATGTCAGTAAAATGGTTCTTTTTTTAAAACTACTGGGGCTTTTGACTATCACAGACCGTCACCATGAGCTTCTGAGGGGCACGCTGTCTGAATTTAACTGACCCACAGATCCCACCGGTCTGCTTGGGGGCCACTGTTCGGTTCGGGATTCTGTGAAGGCATTCTACTGAGTCTACTGCAGGGGAACTACTGAGAGAACGAAGCTGTCTGTAGCCGTCCCTGATGACCGAGACACGTTCAAAGTCTTGTTGGGAATAAAGCCTCGCATGCTGGGAGCGCACCCGTGCGTTAGAACCCTGGGAGCAATATGTTTTTTACTCACTTCCTAACTTTCCATCTTCTCTCGATACTGCCTGCATCACTCAATACTTTGCCCATCTGTCAAGCCTGCAACTCGAGGCTCGGATTGTTCCCTGAGTTCTTTCCGTTCCCGACACGCCGCGGCTGTGCTCGTCCCTTTAGTTGTCTAACGCTAGGACTGCGGGCATTTCCTTATAACAGTTGGCTTTCTCGTTGCCAGTTGCCCTTTGAAATTTCCTATTCAACTCTGTGGCTTCCTCTGGGCTCCAAGTCTTGTGGATCCAGTGACAGGGGAAGCATCTCAGCCCTGGCAGGGGTCTCCATGTGAATCCTGCAAGACTGCCATCCGTGTCCTTGCCACTTGGTTTCTGGGGTCTTGGTTGTGAAGGGTCTGGATAACGTATCTGCCTAGTCTGCCATCTCGGATCCTCTTTCCTTTGCTGGGGAGCTTTAGGAGTTCTTCAGAGATCTTAGATGCACGTGCTTTATACATGTTTCGCAAATATATTTTCCCCAGTGAGTGACATGTCTTCCCTTTAAAAGTGACTCTCTGCATTGAGGTTCTCCAGATTCAGAATGACTGCATTTATTAAATTGAATTATTATTTTCTGCTCAGAAGTCAGGATCTGTTTTGATATTGGTGGCTTCCCTTCAGTTATTGAAAACTACTTCTTTAATTATGTTTCTTATACTCTCTCTAATGACTTTCCCTGGAGCGCCTATACGGCATATTTAAACCTTCTCAGTCATCAGCTGTGTCCTTTAAGATCACTTTCACAGTCTCTGCGGCTTTGTCACTTTGTGTTGCTTTCCAAGTGCCGTCTAACCGTATGCTGCCTTTCTTTTAAGCTCTATGTAATTTGTTAGGCACATGGAAAAATAACTTTATATGTTCTATAACTTTAAAGGATATAGCTCATTCTTTGAATTCTTAAGACTGAATTTCTCATTTCTAAAGAGTGTGGTTTTTGTTGTTGCTTGCTTGCTTATGAAGAGTAGATGGAGCATTGGGAATACAGGCTAAGAAGGCAGTAGATGAGGCCAGAGGTGAGCAGAGGCCATATCGTATAAGATCTTGTTACAGATGAATGTGAATAGTCCCTGAGCTGTGAAAAGCTATTGGAAGGTTAGAAGCAGTAGAGCGACAGGAGCTCCATTAGATATTCACTCTGACCACTCTATAGGGAAGAGTCACCCGAGAGTTCGTGGTGACTGGAATAGGGTGGTAGCAAGGGAGATGAGGCCAGTGTATACATCCGGATGTTCCAGGTGGATTCAGGAAGTCTTCAGATGTAGATCTTAGAGGGAAAGAGAGGAAGCCAAGATGCCTTCTTGGACTGTGTCTTAAGCAATTGGGTGGACAAGGAAGGACTTTCTAACCTTGGGGAAACCTGAAGGAGTTTAAAGAGAGTGAGCACATATAGATACTGCTCGTATGAGACCATTGAACACCTGGGCTTGGAATGATATTGACTGCAAAGATCTGAGCTGTCAAGAATACAGCCTGGTGGCTATCACAGTGTCTTATCATTCAGAACATGCACAAATGTCTGCTGTCCAAAGGGAGGGGCTTTAAGAATTATTGTTGCATCGTGTCTAGTTTTCCATACATGTATCTTCAACCCTTTCTTTGAAAACAATAAATGCATCACCTCCTCATAAAAAATTCCAAAGGAGAATATTTTATATCCTGATTCATCATATCAATGATTCAACCATCAGAAACATCTCTGCTTAGTTTTAAAATCTCATGGAGCTGAATGAGGATTAAACGTACGACCCTTTACAAAAACAGGATGTGGCAAACATTTGTGTGCTCTCGTACATCTGTCTATCCTTCCCAGGGTTAAGTCGATTACTTTGTAACTGTACCATAGACTAAAGTCAGTGCTGTGTATAGGTCTTGCGAGAGTTTTTTAAATACCAAGTCATTCAATAGCCGAATAAAGATGTAATTGAAACACTTGGTAGAATTCTGGAAGATGTTAATTCTACTTTTTAAGAGGTGTGCTAAGTAAACCAAAACCCTGTTGTCACCTACTGAAGTCTGACTCGCTGTGACCCTATAGGACAGGGTAGAGCCGCCTCATAAGATAAAGACTGCCGTCGCTTAACTGAATGCGTTGAAGTTGATGTTTCAACCCCAGCTTTTAACCACGCAGCCTTCTTGAAAGCTGTATCGTATATTGTTTATTAATGAACCGAAATCAAACTCACTGCCATTGAGTCAGCGGTGAGGGATGAGATGACAGGATTTCTGATAGTTTGTAAAGGCCAGATGGAATATCTATTGTGTAAATGCAGCGGCAGGCTCCAAAGTGATATTTAACTCGGTTTTTAGAACCGTTCATTCTGGAGTTTGGCTATTCTTATTACTGAAGTAAAGTCTCTCATGTTTGCTGGGCTCTTGGATAATCCGTGTCACCAAATGCGCTGTGTGTCCTCTTTCTCCCCGACGGCAGATGGTACGCGAGGAGTACACGACAGCCACAGAAGGCGCCCGCCTAGAGAGGCCGGAGGACCAGTATTTCTACAAAATTGGCATTTACGGCTGGAGGAAACGGTGCCTCTACTTATTTGTTCTTCTTTTACTCGTCATCCTCGTGGTGAATCTGGCGCTTACCATTTGGATCCTGAAAGTGATGTGGTTTTTCCCAGTAAGTGGCTTTTCTTGGTCGGCACGTTTCTGGTGTTGTGTTTGCCTTCTCAGCCTCGCTTCACCCCTACGTTGTTCAGCCCTTCCTCTTA